TTACTGCGTACATTAAAAAGAAACAACACTCGAACACCTCGTTTAACTGTAGCGATCTACCAAAATTGCACGTTAACGGCATTTATTTTGTAATATAATGTAGTGAAATATATTCTTCTGATTAAGTGATTATTATTCTAAACTAAAAATTTGCTAGGAAAAAGATCAATTATAAAAGGAAAATATTTATCTGAAATTATTTTTTTTTGAATTTAGTGAGAAAAAAATCACAGATATTACATCATTATGCTTTCTCATATACAGTATATTTAATAAAATAATACTTTATTTATAAAATAAAAAATGTTGTTAAAGCTTAGCTTATAATATATAAAATTGTGAATATTTTACATTACATAATATAAAAAAATAGTTATTAATTTTGGGAATATATGAGAATATGAATAGGATCCTTTTTACTATTTTCTTGAGAATAAGATAGTTTTTTATAAAATATTGATACGCAAGATGAGGAAACAATTAGAAATTCTTTGTTGTTAATCTATAAATACTTTTTAACTAGTTTTATAGAAGAGACTATAGTATAATAGATTGGATAAAATTGACTTCATATAGATTAAAGTTTACTTGTTGTAAATTTTGTCAAATAATTTTAATTAAAATTTTCAAATTATTAACAGTAGATTATTATCAATTTTTATAGAAAAAATATCACTTACAGTCTTATTACAAAGGAAAAAATTTAGACAAATAGAAAATATCTTACTTTCCTAAATTCATGAACCCATAGTGAAAAAAAATTTGCTCCCATATGTACATAACTTTTGACATATATATATCTTAATTTTGTGTTATTTTATAGTAAAGTTTTTGCAGAAAGTTAATTGAACTATTATATACTCCTATTTGCTTTATATCTTGTTAGAAAAAAGTTAAGAAGGTATGAGACATAATTAGTATTATTGTTCAGCCTAATAAGATCATACTGATTTTCATAGATTGATATTTTTATTTAGCATAACAATATCATAAGAAATTATACTATATTATACATATTGTAAATTTAATTTTAATATAAAGTCTAATATAAACTATCTTCACACATAGATTAAAAAGTTACATTTCAATTGGTAAGTTTGCATAATTTTCTAATTTAATTATTTTATATAATTAATTCATCAATTATATTAGTTACTCATAATATTAATTTTAATATTAAAATTAGTCAATCCACCATTTTGTATTAATAATAAAAGTTGATCCACTTCTATGAAAATTTCTAATGTATTATTGCTTAATTTTGAAGAGGTTGGTGATCTAAAGATTTATTGATTATGTTAGAATTGATCAAAGAAGGTTTAGAAGTCTGTATAGCTAAATTATTTAAAAAAAAAATGAAAAAAAAATTAGGATAATTCTAAATTTAAATGTCAAATATTTCAATATATCTTCTCTAACTGTTTTAAAAACATCATTTTTCTAAATTTGATTTTTTACAGATCTTTTATATTTGTTATATCTTTAACATTAATCCTTAATATATTTAAAATTATAAAAAAATTGAAAAAAATTAAAAAGCAAATTTATATAAAAATAATGATAATACCTGAGTGTACACTAGAATTATATATTTTTGTTATTAATTTACTCATCATATTTGTTCTCTCTTTGTCTCTTAGTAATTCATATGAATTCAATCCTAATTCTATTTAATATCACGATTGTAATTATACTTGTTCTCATGAAATTCCTGCAGTATGCAATTCTTGTATCATAGTTTTTTGACCTCTATAATTAGATATATTACGATTTGTAAGATCAATTTTAGATAATTTGTATATTTCACGTATAAATCCTTTTAAATGTGCTTCACCAATATGAGATTTCTTGTATCAAATTCCAGTTTGAAGTGCTATAAAGGTAAAAGATAAATAAATAATTTATAAAAAGCAAACAAGTTAATTTTATCTATTTCTTCATTAACTTCTTATAAATAAACTATAAATCAGCTAAAACAGGTCTTTTTGTAAAATAATTTTCATAATCATTAATTACATCTTCTTGGTTTGGTATAGTTAATATTTCAGCTTTTTTATAATCATTTAATCCTCGCTGATTAGTTTTTGATCGATAAATATACACATCAAATCCTCTATCATTTCATTTTTTGAAGTTATTTGCCTTAATTAATGAGTGTTCACCTTCTCTTAATCTAAGAATTATTGCAATACCTATCTTAAAAGTCTTTTAGATGTTGATCTATCCATAAATTTGTGAGATAATACTTGTTGAACTTCTAAAAGGCTTAATCCATCAGAACCTTTAGTTTCACTATATCTAAGATTACTTAAATACTTAATCTTTCTATTTGCAATTTCATTGAGAGTAGTAAAAGTATTATTGTCATAAATATTAACATATTTAATCATAGAATTTTTATTCAAATGATAATAAAATGCTGCAATTGAAACTTTTACAAAACTTGTTGCATATTTTTCTCTATTCTTTTGCTTCATTAATGCAACATATTTTGTCAATTATTGATCTAATTCATTTACATTATTAATTTCTTCTTTTTTCCATTATAATCTTACTTTTCACAAAAATTTTCTAAAGCTTTTACTTAATTATTAATGGCATAATTAGTATTCTTTACTTGGTTTAATTCTCTATAAAAATTAACATCTTTTCTTTATTCTATAGCTTTCTAAATTAAAAAAAATAAATACTTGTTATATTACATTCATTAAATTCAAAAAAAAAATTATATACAGAATTTTTGGACTTTTTACATGACATTTTTAAAATAAATTATTTAAGAAGAAAGAAGGTATAGAAATAAATCAAAATTTAATAAAAAGTTTAGCAAAAAAAATTTAATTAAAAAAAAAATTTAAAAAAAAATTAATTTTTAAGATTAGCATGATTAAGAATGCCTGAAAGATAACACTTTTATTGGATGTGAGGTTACATCAGTCATGAGACCCTTCATTGATTGGTGAAAATAGATTACTATGTGGTCCATTTTCATCTAATCATTCAGTCCTATGATCCATTTAGCTAATTCTTTATCCAATAATATATATTTATTATATAATGCTAAGATCTCTATAAAAATATATTCAAATAAAATCTTTATATCTTTTTATATATAGATCTACTTTGTAAAACATAAACTTGATTTTATATTTGATAAACTCGAAGTTGTGAGTTCTCTCAACCTTTATAATATATACTTTTGTCAGTATTATTAACTTATAGGAAAGGTTCTGTACACTAGTCGAAATAGTCCAAATCGGCTAAAAATTGGATGGCTGATTTTAGGCCGATTTTGATACTATTTATGGCTGATTTGCCATATTTTCCGATCAGCATAAACAGGTGCCGATAGACGCCGATCGACCCCAATCGGACATGGCCATTCAGAACTTAAATTCAACCATAAATCAGCC